TTTTGATAAAATCTTTCGTTAAAGGAGGATTATTTGCGGGCTTGGTTTACATTTTTATCATTTCTATAGTATTTGAATAAGGTTGAATACATGAAAAGCTTTCTGTACCATTTATGTTTCACATGTCTAATTTAAACAGCAGGATTTACCAAAATTATGTTAAGGCAACCTGGCTGACATGGACAACAGTCTCTCAATGACAATTCACATTAAGCTTGGAATCTCGGTGTAAATTGGTAGGAAATTAGGTTTTCGTTGCCTCATCTCCCTTGATTTCCTGGCATCGCCAAAGCCAATGCTTAAATAGAAGTACAAGAAAGATTGTCCTCACATTCTTGTCCATGAAGGAAATTGGAGATGCCTTAGAACGTGTATATTGAACTCAGGTTGGCATAAATTAATCCATTCTATTACCCAGGCTTTGCTTAAATCAACAACAGAAGGAAAAGAGTGGACTTTTGAAAACAATCAACAATTAAAAGTAGCCCATCTAACCTATGAAAATGGCACATCAACGGTCCATGAGAAGGATTTAATTAGATTAAATTCCCTCATATATTGATTAACAGATTATATTCTTTGTCTTCTTTTTCTTCCAAGAAAAAAGAAAAAAAAAGTTGTGTTTGTCTCTAAGACTTTGAAGTTAAAATATGTAAAACATCAGCTGTTATCAGCTATTTGTTGGGTGACTTGCCCAAATGACTCAAGCAATTAATTATATGACTGAGCACGCCTTTGAGGCTCCCCCCAAGTGGAACTTTTGGTGTGAGAGAACCCACCAACCCCAGCATTTGTTGCATCCTCCCTTGACTAAGAGAGATCTTTATATTAAATACTCAAATTCCATGCAACGAGAAAACTTCAAACCTCCAGATTCTTTCCCTCTATATATCTCCCAATCTCACCCGTCTTCCCCACTCTTCATTCCATTCATTCAAGGAAAAAGTGAAAATGGCACTTTATTCATATCTCAATCCGCAATGTTTCATGCTTTTGTTATGTTTGATCTCCGTTTTCAGCAATGGAACAAGTGATTCCCCTCCATTGACACTGGATTACTACAAGTCCACCTGCCCGACTGTGTTTGAGATTGTCCGGAAAGAAATAGAATGTGCTGTGCTGTCTGATCCACGAAATGCTGCCTTGATAGTTAGGTTGCATTTCCATGACTGCTTTGTTCAGGTTTTATATCCTGCCTTTATCGTGTCTTTGTAAATAAATATTGCATTGGTGAGAAAATCTTGAAATTCTGAATACAATGTGTGTGCTGTGTGTGCAGGGGTGTGATGGTTCAGTTTTGCTTGATGATACAATTGATCTCAAAGGAGAGAAGACAGCTGCTGGAAACGTTAACTCCCTCACAGGTTTTACTCTCATTGACAGGATCAAGAACAAGCTTGAATCTGAGTGCCCTGGAATTGTTTCCTGCGCTGATATCCTCACAATTGCTGCAAGAGATGCTGTGCTTCTGGTAAATTATGGAATTTTTCCACCTTTTTTCTTTTGTGCTTCAGTTTATGCTCACCAAACTAAGTCCATTTTTCTGGTCCCATAAAAGACAGGCTATCTATTTACCAGGACTAGGGGATTAGTGAGGATACATGTCCAGTTGGTTTCCTTACTCATTTCTCTTGATTCTCTATGCAGGTTGGAGGGCCTGATTGGGATGTTCCTCTGGGAAGGAAGGATTCCAGAACAGCAAGCTATGCCCTGTCAGACTTAAATCTCCCTTCTGCAAGTGAGGGTCTGCTGAGTATCCTATCCAAGTTTATTTATCAGGGCCTCAGTGTCACAGATACAGTAGCTCTTCTTGGTAAGTTACCAAATTCCTTACAAATTCTGTTACATGGACTCTTAACTACTTCATGCTAATGAACCATATTGCAATATTTACTAAATACTTAAAGGTAGGCATATTATATACATGTATTTCTGTCAGATACTTAATCTCAAGTCCTGCTAACATATTCATGTTTGCAGGTGCACACACCATAGGCATGGCACGATGTGTGAATTTCCGGGCAAGGATTTATGGAGACTTTGAAACAACTTCTGGGACATATCTCAGCAACTTGAAATCCATCTGCCCAGCAATTGGAGGAGACAACAACATAGCTGCAATGGACAACGTTACTCCAAATCTTTTCGACAATTCTTTCTATTGGACGTTACTAAGAGGGGAAGGATTGCTGAATTCAGACCAAGAAATGTACTCTAGTGTTTTTGGGGTCGAAACAAGAATGCTTGTGAAGAAGTATGCAGAAGATCCTATTGCTTTCTTCCAACAGTTCTCCGACTCCATGGTGAAGATGGGGAACATTACGAACACAGATAGCTTTGCCACAGGAGAAGTGAGAAGGAATTGCAGATTTGTGAACACCTGAGGATATCAACGCCGCCAGTTGTTTATTGTATGAATAAGTGAAGAATCACAGTTTTTGTTTCTCTTTTTGTTTATCTTTGATTCTCTTGGCTTTGAATCAAGTCTGTCCATTTCATTAAAACATGAAGAGAGACTGAAGGTTGAATTAGAACTTCATTCAAAAGCTTTTCATACCCTCTCTCACCAAATTAGAAGTATTCAGTCCCATCTCATAATTTTTTTTTTATTTGTAATTTAAGATGTATGAGTAGTTAAAAGTTTAAATATTTACGTTAAAAATCTCTAATTAAAATCTTGAGATAGATGAAAAGTGATTTGAAAAAAAAAATATTATTATTTTTTATTGTATAAATGATCAACTAAAGTATTAAAAAATAATAATTATCTTTTTGCATTCTTTGTTTTGTCTCTCTAAGTAGTGTTTTGGGTTGATTTTAACAAACTAAAAGTTTGGGACTATAGTATTTGTCAACATTATTCTCCAAAATCCTTTAATAATATTTCAATCATTAGAGTTTGAATTCAAGATTTAAAGTTGAAGGTTTTTATATTAGTAATCTAATCAAAATGCAAATAATGCACCATAGAATTATAGAATTTGCTAGAAATTACGTCTTCATAACATTTCCAAGAATCAAATCTTGTCTTGTATAACAAGGCACTGGCTAAATCCACTCGAGAAATACGCAGTTCATTTTCAGCCTCCAATTGATGGCTTTCACCTTTTATTTCAGCCCAGCAAACCATTTTTGTGAACCCAATAGCCAGATGGGCCCCTTTTAGTCTTTTACATAGACGTTGAACTGGAAACCCTTTTTTTTCTTGTTTTTTTTTGGGCAGCCTTCAATAATCAAAGTCAAGATTCAAGAAATGCACTAACCACAATGACAGGGTGATGCATCCTTTTTTTGACAAAAATATATACAGTGTTAGATTAGTATTTGTTTAAAAAAAATCGAGTTTGGGACTTAATCTACAGATTGAAGTGCGTTCCACCTGTTTCTTACTTTAAAGAAACATGACCACCATTGCGACTACATGAGAAAATGCATGGGGTGATTCATCCTTATTTGGGAGAAATTGAGCATGCAAGTTAACTTGAAAATATTTTTAATCGTTTAAATAAAAAATAAATTGGACAAAAAATACTCTTAATTGCAAAACAACCTTTAATTAAAAAGTGAATCTTGGTATATTTAAGAGTAGTGTGATTATTTATATATATATATGATAAATTATATAATAAAAGATAATGCTTCTATTACCAAACTCCTATTCATCCAATTTAGAATTCAAAACTGAGATTTTTAATGTGGAAACTCAAATTTTTAACTACTGAAACATCCCTAAG